ATTAAAAAACCCGTTATATAGTTTTATATATTTTCATTTAATGAGTAGGATTAAGATATTATATTAAGATAATTTTCTTTTGAAATCCCGAAAATCGTAAGAAAAAATAGCTTTTAATTTTTTAATCCAGAATCAAACGGTATATGTTTAAAAAATTTAATTTTAAATAACTATTTTAGAACAAATAATACACTTTTGTACATCATCAACGGTTCYTATATGATTAACTGACAACGAGCACTTGACACAGTGCCTTCCTTAGGCATCTTATTAACACTTCTAATTGTTCTAAGCTGATCGTTTAAGTTCTCAAACTTTAAATTTTTAAAAAATTAGTGACTCAATCAACATGGAAATATTTTGATAATTTATTCATTGTTATTTATCTATTTATTTGTTTATTTGTAGTAATTTTGAATTTCCATGTTTTTATAACAAAACTATCAACTATTACAAAATTACAATATTTTCCTTTCAAATTTCTTAATAAAAGATAAAACCTGTAAGCAATTAACATAAACTGTATATTATGCTAACGAATAAGTTCCTCAATACTTCCGATTTCCGAAGTAAAATGACGTCATTTGTTTAGTGAGCCGAAAACGGCCGGCTGTCTCAATGAAACCGAAACGAACAATGAACTCGAACTTCCTTAGCCATAAACGAAAATCGTTAGGCATCATATATTTGTTAACAAAAAATTGACGTGTAAATAAAATAAATAAATAGATAATGAAAATAAAAATAGAAAAATAAGTAATAAGTGTAAAAAATAAACAACGTTCGATTTGGAAATACTTTCAGGCACCGCTTAACAGCTAAACACTGCGCCAATTGCTTAAGCACTTATTGGTACACACTGTTATTTAGGCACAAATATTCATTCTCTAAGCACACACCGCTAAATTTATATGGCAAACTGTATTCTTAGCCAGCTAAAGYGCTGTCTAACTTATTCTAAACCTAACGACCGTTGCTCGAGTGAGTAAGTTCACWAAGTGRTGACGGTGAAACGTGTTTGAGCCGCCCGCTGACCTTAAGCGCAAGAAGTGCGTACGCCGTTGGCAGCCGTCCAATTCGCATTGCCTTTATGCATGGATTACATATGTAGTGTGTGAGTTTTCATTTGCATAGTTACATATGTRTTTGAACCGCTAGGGTGGTTGAAGTTCCGTCATAAATGCCGCAACTTTTAAGTTCTAATTAGTGACTTTGGCGTTCTGTTCTTTGAAAGTTTTTTTTTTTTTCAACTTAGTTCAAAAGGAAATTTAGTTACGAAGGCTATCAATTTATTACGATCAGCGTTAGGCAGCTTCATTTACATTTGACAGTCGAACAAGTTTAATTCTAACCGCTAGAAGAGGCTGGTTTTTGCATTCCATAAATATTTATGAGRCATAGTTTTTAGAATTTAAGCGAAGTTCGTGGCCATTTATTCGCCGCCAAAAAGTTATAAATATATACAATATCGAAACAAAGTGTCTCAAGCAGGTTAGAAGTGGTTATGCATATATAGACTTTTGGCTAAACTAGCTAATTGATTAATGAGATTGTAGTGCTAATTTACTTATAACTAAGGGGTAACAGCCAATGTACCGTTAATTACGTATAATAAATAACAAATTTTGTGAGTAATGTGACATGGGAGACAAAAGGAGACAAAAACTCCTCAGGCTTGTCATAAAGTATTCATAAGAAGAGGYAGCACTTTCTATTGGGAACGTAGTACGAGTATATCGCAATCAAATATCTAGGACATATTTTCAGCTATTCCATTCGAGTACCATGACTATATGATAACCGTGCTGCCATAAATACCAAACTGCTGATCTTAATGAACTTATTTATAAGTATATCAATAATATCCGAAATATTATTTATTTTTACCAATAYTTTGATATCTTATATTTTACCAATCAATTTGTATGAAGCAAGTTTCTTAAATAAGTGGCAACCCTTAGCAAAATATCTCAAATGAACAGAAATGTGCGCACATTTATTAAATCAAAATCTATTATTCATCTATTTAATTAACTTAATTATAAACAAATAAACATGTGGCAACCCWTATCAAATTATGTATAATATTTTCAACAATTAATTTTCTTAACACGTTTTAGTTGTTACACATATACCGTTAATTAAAAAAATTAAATTAAAGAATTTAAATATGTGGCAACATTTCTTAGAAGGCGTATAACAACACAAATGTCCCTCAAACACGTTAAAACAGTATTTAATATTAATTGCTTTAATTCGTTTAGTTGAATAAAATAGTGTTGATAGGTGGCAACTCTGTTCAAAGTTAAGTGTTATATTTTAAATACAAAATTTGCTTTTCCTTTTATATATAAAACCTAAAAAATACTTTATCATGTAAGTTTAATGGAACTAATTTTTGTAAACAGGTAGCAACATTTTTGAAAACATTTTTAGCTGTAAGCTGTGTTAAACCTCACGACTGCTTAGTTCAGAATTTTATTTTATTTTTAAATTTATAAAAGGTGGCAACCTTCTGGTCTGCTAATGTTATATTTTAAACACTAAATTTTCTTTCAGATTTAAACTTGTATGTAGAAACTAAAAATACTTTATATTATAATTTTTATGGAACTATTTTTGTAAACAGGTGGCAACACTTCTTAAAATATTTTTAACTGTAAGCTTTCTTAAACCACATGAGTTCTAAGTTCATTATTTTTTTTACTTTTAAATATGAAAATGGTGGCAACCTTCTACACTCGCTGTACATTACTAAATATGATAATTTTTTCGCCTCACTATGTGTGGTTGTATTTTTTTGCAATTTTGCGGTGGCATTAACCAAAATTTGTCATTGAATTGCCGTATCGGGTGTAATAAACGTTGGATATTATTGCAGTTGTTGTTGTTAGTGCAAGTGTTTATTAATTGTACAAGCGATGCTTATTTACAAAGCTGCATTACTTTGGCGGTTAATGTTCTTTTATGGACTTCTTGCCGAATGCGGTGTTGCCGTGGGAACTTCTCATTCAGTGTTTTTGTTTTTTTGTTTTTTTGTATGAAATAGCTGATGAAAGGAGATAAAGTTTTTGAAAAGTAAATTAATTTTTTTAAATTAAAAGATTGACTCTTCACCACAAAGAACGCCTTTAATAAGTTCATAACAGCTTGATCATTAAAATCAAGTCCTTGTTATCTTTCTGAACACGAATTTTAGGTTTGACGTAGAGAGTGGTGTTTCTGAATGTCTAAATTTCATAATTTAATAATCGTAAACAAGCGTAATATTTATTTTGTTTATAATTTGGAGTTACACAAAATTTTATTGTTAAAACGTATTGACTCTTGCCAAGCTTAGAATATGTATCACTAAAAACTTATATATTGTAAAATATTTTCAGCAGTAAATTAGTAAACCTCTATCTTAATTAGAAATTGAATTTCCAGTTGACTCATAAATATCTAGGTAATAGTAAATATAATAAATAAGGAGAAAGCTTAATTCAATTTTATTTGAGTCACGTGGATGATGACCTAACGAACTCATTTGTCATATTGGATTGTTAAATATATGATGTAAGTATATAGKAGGCAATTTATTAATGTTGGTGGAATGAAGATGAGATGGAACGAATTTGAGAATCAGGCCTTTAATACAAGCTAGAACTACTTTCCTATGTGTATATTGTTGTTCATTTGTGGAACACATAAATGTCTTGCTAACTTTCTCTTAATCAGTTTCCATTTGCTTATATTGTACTCTGACTATATGAGATTAATAATAGTTCTTTAAGTTCTTTAAGTTTCCCCTCTGGATCCAAATTGCAGTATACTGCATTTGTATGAGACTAATATCAGTTATGTCGGTTTTTCTAAACCCAAATCGTTCGATATACGAAAATTAATAGATCTTTAATGATTCTTGGGGCACTCTCGCAAATTCTTAATTCATAATGTTAGAAATATTTGTGAACAACAGGCTTTCTGCTGTTTTGTGTTCATGTGTTTGTGAGAAAGATTTCGAATTTTTGAACAGAAGGTTTCCAAATGYCTTTTTAAGTAAGGAAAAATTATTGAAAATATATTTATATATATACCATATATTTTGGTTAGACGAATACGGATNAATAAACTATTCAGTTGTATACACGCCATCCTTAACCTTAAAAACATATACACAAATTTTACGACTTTTAAATATTCATRTGCAGAATTATGTTATCTTAGACCTACAACCGATAACCTAAGCCGAATGCTGCACGAAACTATTTGAATTTGTAATAAAAATTGTTAAACATAAACTAAGCTAAAATTTTACATAATTAACCAGGGTGGACCGTTCAACATTGCTCACATGTGTTGGCAAATGTGACTTACTCTATTAGATAATACACAAACTTTTTTTTCGCTTTTTTCGTATCTGCATAAATACTTGTCTGTAAGAATCTGCTGTGGCAAACTCGTTGCCGCGCATATCTACAACCACTCGCTCGTTGCTCAAATCTAATTCAATATTCAAAGCACAGATTTTCGAATGCTTATTATTATTTTAACTATGGATTTGACTATTTTGACGTATAAATTTACTAGTATACATTGTATGTACTTATATAAACAGACGCATACATACACAGACGTTGTACATGTCTGTCAGTTTGTGAGCTAGAAAACGCTTAACACGGACTAATTCTAGCATTCGCTGTTAGAATTGTGAATGCTTTCGTGCGGTGCAGTACTCACAGCACGGACGCAGCGCTGAAAGTTCGAAATATTGCTACATATTGCAAAAAAGTATAGTAAATAATTTTTAAGAATTTAGCTGTGTTACATATCATAAAAAATAGCTGCAGTTGCATTAGAATTTCATGCGCGTCTCGATTCATTCATTTCAATTTCAAAAAAAAAAAATAATAATAAAATGAAAATTTATATTCTGTGTCSTGTTGTGTAATTCATAAAAGGGTTGTCTGCTTAATTCATATGTTTAACAGGTGTTAAATTTTTTTTTTTATTTATAGAACGGGACACATACATACAAGCAAGCGATAATGGCGACCTATATGAAAATTTTCAATGAACGCATATCCGGTCTCTCGAAGGGTGTTGGTGAGTAGTTTTGCATTGAAAAGCGTTAAGTCGAAATGCATATGGTGAATTGATAATTTTTAAAAGGTGTTGAAAGTGAAAATGCGTTTTTGTGTAGATATTGGAAAATATGCTATATAATACTATTTAATCTTATGTTAAGTTTTAAACTTAACTTTTAGAAAAAAAACTTAACTTTTTTAGAAAAAAAAAATTTTGCGTAACTAAAAA